GATGGTAAAAACTGACTAATCTTCTTCGGCGGCTTGAAATATGTTTTAATGGAAGCACGCTTCAAGATGTAGCCAATCTTGTCAGTGACACCTCTGACATATGGCAGTACAGCAGGCACTCGCTCGACTGTGGCCGGCTTCACTCGTTCACTGTGACGTAGGCGCGGGACCCGAAGCTTATTGTCGTGCAAAACTTGCTTGACGTGTTGGAGCTCGGCGGCCAGGTGTTTACTGTCACAGATCCCTCGTGCTCTCTGAAACAAAGATTTACCCACGGTAGCTAACTGTGAAGGATGGTGGTGAGAATCACCGTTTAAATATCTATCTGTATGGGTCTTTTTTCTATACACAGTGTGGCTCAAGGTGTTATCAGAATTCCGAATTACTAACACATCTAGAAAAGCTAAAGAATTGTTTACCTCTAACTCCATTGTGAACTGAATTTTAGAATTTAAGCAGTTAAGATGGTCTAAAAATGCAGTTACTTTATCTAAAGGTAGAATTGTGAAAGTGTCATCTACGTACCGCTTGTAGAATCTTGGGTTTACGGGAGAAGTAAGCAGGGCTTTCTCCTCAAAGTCCTCCATGAATATATCGGCAACAATGGGAGATACAGGTGAGCCCATCGCCACTCCATCTACTTGCTTGTAGAACTCCTCCTTCCACAATAGGTAGCCAGATGTAAGGCAGTGTCTGAGTAATACTGCATATTCTACGGGCATGTTGTTTTCCTCTAGCCTTCTAGTAACAATCGAGATGCAGTTTTCAACAGGTAGGCATTTGAACAGAGACTGCACATCAAAACTCACCATAGTTTCATTGTCTGCCAGATGTAGGTCTTTAATCTCGCTGACAAAATGGTAGGAATCCTTTGTGTGTGCTTTTGTATGTCCCTTGAGCGGTGAAAGTATATTCGCTAAGTGTTGAGCCAATCTGTAAGTTGGTGAATCAATTTGGCTCACTATAGGACGTAGTGGAGCATTGGGCTTGTGTATTTTTGGTAACCCATACAACTTCGGTGGTTTAACACACGTAGGTATTATCGATTTTACGTCTAGATTTAATTTTTCGGAGTGTTTCTTTATGAGATCACTAGTCGTTTTAAGTGTGTTATTTGTTGGGTCATTTTTAACCTTTTTATACGTACTTGCATCCGACAAAAGTTCTTGTATTATAGAATTATAATCTGACGTATCCATGACTACCGTGGCATTTCCCTTATCTGCGCTATAATCTCTGCGTGGCATTTCCCTTATCTGCGCTATAATAAAATAATCATCATCATCATCATCATTACAGCCCTTCACAAGTCCACTGCTGAACATAGGCCTCCCCCAAAGAATGCCACAAAGCACGGTCCTGAGCCACCTGCATCCATCGACTTCCTGCATATCTTACCAGGTCGTCACTCCATCTCGTGGGGGGACGCCCTACACTTCGCCTACCGGTACGAGGCTGCCACTCGAGAACCTTTCTTCCCCATCGGTTGTCGGTTCTTCGAGCTATATGGCCGGCCCACTGCCACTTCAGCTTACTAATCCGTTGGGCTATGTCGGTCACTCTGGTTCTACTGCGGATATCCTCATTCCTAAGTTTATCACGCAGAGAAACTCCGAGCATAGCCCTCTCCATAGCTCGCTGAGCGACCTTGAGCTTCCTCATACGGCCAGCAGTGAAGGACCACGTCTCAGTTCCGTAAGTCATCACTGGCAACACGCACTGGTTGTACAATTTCGTTTTAAGGTTTTGAGGTATGTCTGACGAGAAGATGTGTCGTAGCTTCCCGAACGCTGCCCAGCCGAGTTGAATCCGTCGATTGACCTCTCGGTCGAAGTTGGACTTACCTAGTCGGACTATTTGTCCCAGGTAAACATACTCGTCAACAACTTCGAGCTTAGTGCTCCCAACAACTACCGGCATAGGTGTGACATGGACATTAAACATGATCTTTGTTTTGTCCATGTTCATCTTAAGACCTATCCGTTGGGAAACACTATTGAGGTCATTGAGCATAGTGCTTAGGTCCTCCAGCGATTCTGCCATAAGGACTATATCGTCGGCAAATCGAAGGTGAGTGATGTACTCGCCATTGATGTTGATACCGTATCCTTTCCAGTCCAGAAGCTTGAAAACGTCTTCCAATGCAGCGGTGAAGAGTTTCGGGGATATGACGTCACCCTGTCTTACACCTCTCTGCAATTGGATATGTTTCGTATTCTGGTTCTGTACTCGGATAGCCATCGTAGCCCTACTGTACAAGCACTTCAACACTTCGATATACCGACAGTCAACTTGGCACCGCTGAAGGGACTGCAGCACCGCCCAAATTTCGACGGAATCAAAGGCTTTCTCATAGTCCACATACGCCAGACATAGTGGCAAATTGTACTCCTCGGACTTCTGTATAATTTGCCGAAGGGTATGTATGTGGTCTATGGTGCTAAAGCCTTTTCGGAAACCGGCTTGTTCGGGAGGCTGGAAGTCGTCAAGTCTGCGCGCGAGACGATTCGTAATGACTCTCGAAAACAGCACGTAGACGCGGCTCAGAAGGGAAATCGGTCTGTAGTTCTTCAAGAGAGCGTTGTCACCTTTCTTGAAGAACAAGACCACCGCACTTCTGCTCCACGCCTCCGGTGTAATGCCACCATGGAGGACAGAATTAAAGAGCTTCTGAAGGACTTCAAGTACCGGTCTTCCACCCGCTTTCAGAAGCTCCGCTGTAATTCCATCCTCGCCTGGGGCCTTACCGTTTTTAAGGTGCTGGAGAGCCATCCTAATCTCGCTCAGACTGACATCCGGGATATCTTCGGAATAGTGTCGGATGAGACTCGCTCTTGGATCGTTACTCACACTTGCGTGTGGCTCCAACGATGATGTGTACAGCTGCCCATAGAACCTCTCAATCTCACTCAAAATCTCAGGTGTCCCGGAAACGATGCTGCCACATTCTGTCTTCAGCTTTGACAGTTGGCTCTTTCTGGCAGACAGATCTCTGGCAAAGACTTTGGAGCCTTGGTTCCGCTCGATCGCTTCTTCAATACGAGCTGTATTGAAGTTGCGTAAGTCCCGCCGCATGCATTTGGAGATCTGTCTGTTCAGATGCCTGTATGCTGTCAAGTCTGTTGAAGAATGTAGCTTCATCTCCCGTCTAACAGCCATGAGATTAAGAGTGTGATCGGAGAGTTTTTGTATTCTTCTGCGGCGGGTCTTGCAGAACTTAGCTCCGACCGCATGGACAGTTTCCACGAGCTTGTCATTCATATCGTCCACTTCATTGCAGTCTTCCAGGCACTGAAAACGGTTTTGTAACTCGAGCTGAAAGGTTTCGGGACTTTGGAACAGAGCACGAGGGGGACGGAGCGTTGACTTCATTAGACGAGACCTCTCCAACTTAACGTTTAGGTTCAGTGTGCCTCTAACCATTCGGTGATCGCTACCAGTTTTCACCCTCGCGATCACGGAGACATCACTGAACAGTTGTCGTCTGGTCGTCATAATGAAGTCAATCTCATTTTTTGTGGAACCGTCGGGGCTCGACCAGGTCCACTTCCTGTGGGGCCGCTTCTGGAAGAAAGAGTTCATCATGAAGAGTCCCTCTTTCTCCATGAAGTCGGCCAGCTGCTGGCCCCTTGGGTTCCGTTGCCCTATTCCAAATTTCCCTACTTTCAGCTCACCGTTCTCTCTTGTACCTAGTTTTGCATTGAAGTCTCCCATTAACACCGTATATTGGGTTTTGGAGGAATGCATGGCTCTAGAGATATCCTCATACATTTCCTCCACCTCCTCATCGGGGTGTGCCGAAGTTGGTGCGTAAACCTGTATGACCTTCAGCGAATACCGTTTGGTGATTCTGAGTATAAGGTACGCAACCCTCGTCGACACACTTCCGATCTTTACAACGTTGTTAACGAGAGACTTGTGGACGATAAATCCGACACCTCCTTGGGACAGATGGTCGCTCTCCCGGTGATAGAGCAAGTTGCCGGATTCGAGGATTACCGTGTCCTCCCCCTCTCTTCGGACTTCGGATAATCCTATAATATGCCAGCGCAACTTGTCTATCTCTTCTTCCAGCTCCACGATCTTCTAAAATAATATCTGCGATAAAATCCGTAAAATTAGTTTTATTAAATGTGTAGTGTTCGCGTAATTATAAGAAATCATTAGGTGGAAATCTCTTATATATACATATATATTCATTGAATTATTGAATATTTTTTTAATGCTGTTTTGGTCTTACAAGTAAAATTGGTACATAATTCATAATTCTCTTAGTAACCAAAAGATGTCACTTTGGTCAAAATTTTTATAGGAATATTATTTTAAATATAAAGTAAAAAAGAAAATTAAAATATTTTTCTTTGTGTTATAGAATTTAACAAACTTATTATTTATTTTTATAATTGAATTCTGACATCCTGCCGAGTAACGTCCACGGCACACATTCGAATTCTAGGTTTCGAATACGGACTCGAGCTCGAGGCTTAGTAGGAATTATGTCAATGACTACATTTGTGTTGATAATTTTAAATTCATTTCTAGCAGCTCTTTTGTTGCCGAAGGTTTGTAAGTCCAATTAAATGTTTAAAAGTAAAATATTTAACAGTTTTTACAAGTATATAATTGAAAAGCAATAATTCTCGAAAATAGTTATAGATGTTTAATGTTCAAATTTTATTTGAATTTATAAAACAGCTAAATATTATCATTAAATTTATGTTTATAATATAGTCAGTTCTTTTATAGACGAAAGTTTGAACTTTGAATTAATTGCAAAATTTAAGTAAGCACCATCTATGATTATAAAGTAAAAATGGTATATATGGCCGCCCCAACCATTGTTGACTTCTTTATCGACGCAGCATACGCCATTTTGCTATTACGAAAGTTGCATTATCTTTCGTCAACAATGTTATGTTCACAGTGAAATGTTTGTGAGGATTTTTCAGTGTTTGTGATATGTAAGGTCAAAGTTGGCCCCAGATATTAATACTAGGATTATGGAGGAGCCTAATGAGCAGGTCAACGTCGTTCCCGGTAAGACTAGTGCCTCAAAAATAAGCTAGATATTAAGTGTCCTATGTGCGAGGTCGTGTAACGATAGTCTTCTCGGTTTCAGAGCTCTACTTTCTGATAGCAAAATTTCTCTCCGGTGGCCCTCTTAAAGAAACTGCAAAGGTAAATTAGCTTCTATTACATCGATTAATATATATTGCTAGTAAAAAAAACTAATCGAACCCTTTGTTTTTACAGACTGCTAAAAGAGCTCGAGAGTGTTGAGGTAAGTGAGAGCTTTTCCTAGTGCCGGTTTTAGAGCTTATTGTTGTTTTGGTCGCGAACGCACGTGGCACGCAAAAAAAACTGCGGTTGCCAACCCGCTCGCCAAGCGTGGCAACTATGGCAAATACCCCCCTATGAATGTAACAAAGGACTCGACCTGGCAACGTACAACGCACGCACCCTGAGGACTGACGAGAAGATCGTGGAGCTGGAAGAAGAGATAGACAAGTTGCGCTGGCATATTATAGGATTATCCGAAGTCCGAAGAGAGGGGGAGGACACGGTAATCCTCGAATCCGGCAACTTGCTCTATCACCGGGAGGGCGACCATCTGTCCCAAGGAGGTGTCGGATTTATCGTCCACAAGTCTCTCGTTAACAACGTTGTAAAGATCGGGAGTGTGTCGACGAGGGTTGCGTACCTTATACTCAGAATCACCAAACGGTATTCGCTGAAGGTCATACAGGTTTACGCACCAACCTCGGCACACCCCGATGAGGAGGTGGAGGAAATGTATGAGGATATCTCTAGAGCCATGCATTCCTCCAAAACCCAATATACAGTGTTAATGGGAGACTTCAATGCAAAACTAGGCACAAGAGAGAACGGTGAGCTGAAAGTAGGGAAATTTGGAATAGGACAACGGAACCCAAGGGGCCAGCAGCTGGCCGACTTCATGGAGAAAGAGGGACTCTTTATGACGAACTCTTTCTTCCAGAAGCGGCCCCACAGGAAGTGGACCTGGTCGAGCCCCGACGGTTCGACAAAAAATGAGATTGACTTCATTATGACGACCAGACGACAACTGTTCAGTGATGTCTCCGTGATCGCGAGGGTGAAAACTGGTAGCGATCACCGAATGGTTAGAGGCACACTGAACCTAAACGTTAAGTTGGAGAGGTCTCGTCTAATGAAGTCAACGCTCCGTCCCCCTCGTGCTCTGTTCCAAAGTCCCGAGACCTTTCAGCTCGAGTTACAAAACCGTTTTCAGTGCCTAGAAGACTGCAATGAAGTGGACGATATGAATGACAAGCTCGTGGAAACTGTCCATGCGGTCGGAGCTAAGTTCTGCAAGACCCGCCGCAGAAGAACACAGAAACTCTCCGATCACACTCTTAATCTCATGGCTGTTAGACGGGAGATGAAGCTACATTCTTCAACAGACTTGACAGCATACAGGCATCTGAACAGACAGATCTCCAAATGCATGCGGCGGGACTTACGCAACTTCAATACAGCTCGTATTGAAGAAGCGATCGAGCGGAACCAAGGCTCCAAAGTCTTTGCCAGAGATCTGTCTGCCAGAAAGAGCCACCTGTCAAAGCTGAAGACAGAATGTGGCAGCATCGTTTCCGGGACACCTGAGATTTTGAGTGAGATTGAGAGGTTCTATGGGCAGCTGTACACGTCATCATTGGAGCCACACGCAAGTGTGAGTAACGATCCAAGAGCGAGTCTCATCCGACACTATTCCGAAGATATCCCGGACGTCAGTCTGAGCGAGATTAGAATGGCTCTCCAGCACCTTAAAAACAGTAAGGCCCCAGGTGAGGATGGAATTACAGCGGAGCTTCTGAAAGCGGGTGGAAGACCGGTACTTGAAGTCCTTCAGAAGCTCTTTAATTCCGTCCTCCATGGTGGCATTACACCGGAGGCGTGGAGCAGAAGTGCGGTGGTCTTGTTCTTCAAGAAAGGTGACAACGCTCTCTTGAAGAACTACAGACCGATTTCCCTTCTGAGCCGCGTCTACGTGCTGTTTTCGAGAGTCATTACGAATCGTCTCGCGCGCAGACTTGACGACTTCCAGCCTCCCGAACAAGCCGGTTTCCGAAAGGGCTTTAGCACCATAGACCACATACATACCCTTCGGCAAATTGTACAGAAGTCCGAAGAGTACAATTTGCCACTATGTCTGGCGTATGTGGACTATGAGAAAGCCTTTGATTCCGTCGAAATTTGGGCGGTGCTGCAGTCCCTTCAGCGGTGCCAAGTTGACTGTCGGTATATCGAAGTGTTGAAGTGCTTGTACAGTAGGGCTACGATGGCTATCCGAGTACAGAACCAGAGTACGAAACCTATCCAATTGCAGAGAGGTGTAAGACAGGGTGACGTCATATCCCCGAAACTCTTCACCGCTGCATTGGAAGACGTTTTCAAGCTTCTGGACTGGAAAGGATACGGTATCAACATCAATGGCGAGTACATCACTCACCTTCGATTTGCCGACGATATAGTCCTTATGGCAGAATCGCTGGAGGACCTAAGCACTATGCTCAATGACCTCGATAGTGTTTCCCAACGGATAGGTCTTAAGATGAACATGGACAAAACAAAGATCATGTTCAATGTCCATGTCACACCTATGCCGGTAGTTGTTGGGAACACTAAGCTCGAAGTTGTTGACGAGTATGTTTACCTGGGACAAATAGTCCGACTAGGTAAGTCCAACTTCGACCGAGAGGTCAATCGACGGATTCAACTCGGCTGGGCAGCGTTCGGGAAGCTACGACACATCTTCTCGTCAGACATACCTCAAAACCTGAAAACGAAATTGTACAACCAGTGCGTGTTGCCAGTGATGACTTATGGAACTGAGACGTGGTCCTTCACTGCTGGCCGTATGAGGAAGCTCAAGGTCGCTCAGCGAGCTATGGAGAGGGCTATGCTCGGAGTTTCTCTGCGTGATAAACTTAGGAATGAGGATATCCGCAGTAGAACCAGAGTAACCGACATAGCCCAACGGATTAGTAAGCTGAAGTGGCAGTGGGCCGGCCATATAGCTCGAAGAACCGACAACCGATGGGGAAGAAAGGTTCTCGAGTGGCAGCCTCGTACCGGTAGGCGAAGTGTAGGGCGTCCCCCCACGAGATGGAGTGACGACCTGGTAAGACATGCAGGAAGTCGATGGATGCAGGTGGCTCAGGACCGTGCTTTGTGGCATTCTTTGGGGGAGGCCTATGTTCAGCAGTGGACTTGTGAAGGGCTGTAATGATGATAATGATGATGATGATGATGCACGTGGATACGACTGTCAAACTTGCTGAAAGTTTACTGAAAAGTTTATAACCTTTTCGTACTGTTGTAGGTATTGCCGAGACGGCTCGACTGGGAGGGCAACGAACACGCGCAGTCATATGATGAATTGGTGAGTAATATGAATTTTTATACTCAAAAACAGCTGTTTATTGTTGTTTTGATCTTAGATTTGCGAAATTAAAAACTAAAAGTGTAAGAAAATAGTGAATTTTCCTATATTGAGTCATATACGAAAACAGTCGTGAAAATCTGGTGGAGAAACGTGAAAAATATTTAACCCTTCAAAACCCGAAAAATCCAAATGGTAAAGATGAGACGTATTTACGCTACCAGGTTTTAAAACCAGGTATTCACTTCAAAGTACGGCGCCCTGGTACGAGCAAAAAATACTTGCAAGTATGAAAATACTTGCATAGGAAAATTATCCATATCTCAATAGTAGTAAGGAACTCTATCGTATTTGTGAACGAAAAATACTTAGCCCTTCAAAGTATTTTTTTTATTTATACGAATTTGCTCCGTATTCATAGTAGGATAGCATGGAATACGGGTGAAATTCCTATGCAAGTATTTTAAAATTTTGACACCACGGCTAGACACGTCCCTCGCGTCGCAATGACACGTATTTACGCTACCAGGTTTTAACTTTAAAGTACGGCGCCCTTTTACGACCAAAAAATACTTGCAAGTATGAGAATACTTGCATAGGAAAATGATCCATATCTCAATAGTAATAAGAAACTCAATCGTATTTGTGAATGAAAAATACTTTGATCTTCAAAGAATTTTTTTTATTTATACGACTTTGCTTCTTGGCCATAATAGCCTAATATGGAAAGCGGGTCGAATTCCTTTGCAAGTCATCATCATCATCATCATTACAGCCCTTCACAAGTCCACTGCTGAACATAGGCCTCCCCCAAAGAATGCCACAAAACACGGTCCTGAGCCACCTGCATCCATCGACTTCCTGCATGTCTTACCAGGTCGTCACTCCATCTCGTGGGGGGACGCCCTACACTTCGCCTACCGGTACGAGGCTGCCACTCGAGAACCTTTCTTCCCCATCGGTTGTCGGTTCTTCGAGCTATATGGCCGGCCCACTGCCACTTCAGCTTACTAATCCGTTGGGCTATGTCGGTCACTCTGGTTCTACTGCGGATATCCTCATTCCTAAGTTTATCACGCAGAGAAACTCCGAGCATAGCCCTCTCCATAGCTCGCTGAGCGACCTTGAGCTTCCTCATACGGCCAGCAGTGAAGGACCACGTCTCAGTTCCGTAAGTCATCACTGGCAACACGCACTGGTTGTACAATTTCGTTTTAAGGTTTTGAGGTATGTCTGACGAGAAGATGTGTCGTAGCTTCCCGAACGCTGCCCAGCCGAGTTGAATCCGTCGATTGACCTCTCGGTCGAAGTTGGACTTACCCAGTCGGACTATTTGTCCCAGGTAAACATACTCGTCAACAACTTCGAGCTTAGTGTTCCCAACAACTACCGGCATAGGTGTGACATGGACATTAAACATGATCTTAGTTTTGTCCATGTTCATCTTAAGACCTATCCGTTGGGAAACACTATTGAGGTCATTGAGCATAGTGCTTAGGTCCTCCAGCGATTCTGCCATAAGGACTATATCGTCGGCAAATTGAAGGTGAGTGATGTACTCGCCATTGATGTTGATACCGTATCCTTTCCAGTCCAGAAGCTTGAAAACGTCTTCCAATGCAGCGGTGAAGAGTTTCGGGGATATGACGTCACCCTGTCTTACACCTCTCTGCAATTGGATAGGTTTCGTACTCTGGTTCTGTACTCGGATAGCCATCGTAGCCCTACTGTACAAGCACTTCAACACTTCGATATACCGACAGTCAACTTGGCACCGCTGAAGGGACTGCAGCACCGCCCAAATTTCGACGGAATCAAAGGCTTTCTCATAGTCCACATACGCCAGACATAGTGGCAAATTGTACTCTTCGGACTTCTGTACAACTTGCCGAAGGGTATGTATGTGGTCTATGGTGCTAAAGCCCTTTCGGAAACCGGCTTGTTCGGGAGGCTGGAAGTCGTCAAGTCTGCGCGCGAGACGATTCGTAATGACTCTCGAAAACAGCACGTAGACGCGGCTCAGAAGGGAAATCGGTCTGTAGTTCTTCAAGAGAGCGTTGTCACCTTTCTTGAAGAACAAGACCACCGCACTTCTGCTCCACGCCTCCGGTGTAATGCCACCATGGAGGACGGAATTAAAGAGCTTCTGAAGGACTTCAAGTACCGGTCTTCCACCCGCTTTCAGAAGCTCCGCTGTAATTCCATCCTCGCCTGGGGCCTTACCGTTTTTAAGGTGCTGGAGAGCCATCCTAATCTCGCTCAGACTGACATCCGGGATATCTTCGGAATAGTGTCGGATGAGACTCGCTCTTGGATCGTTACTCACACTTGCGTGTGGCTCCAACGATGATGTGTACAGCTGCCCATAGAACCTCTCAATCTCACTCAAAATCTCAGGTGTCCCGGAAACGATGCTGCCACATTCTGTCTTCAGCTTTGACAGTTGGCTCTTTCTGGCAGACAGATCTCTGGCAAAGACTTTGGAGCCTTGGTTCCGCTCGATCGCTTCTTCAATACGAGCTGTATTGAAGTTGCGTAAGTCCCGCCGCATGCATTTGGAGATATGTCTGTTCAGATGCCTGTATGCTGTCAAGTCTGTTGAAGAATGTAGCTTCATCTCCCGTCTAACAGCCATGAGATTAAGAGTGTGATCGGAGAGTTTTTGTGTTCTTCTGCGGCGGGTCTTGCAGAACTTAGCTCCAACCGCATGGACAGTTTCCACGAGCTTGTCATTCATATCGTCCACTTCATTGCAGTCTTCCAGGCACTGAAAACGGTTTTGTAACTCGAGCTGAAAGGTTTCGGGACTTTGGAACAGAGCACGAGGGGGACGGAGCGTTGACTTCATTAGACGAGACCTCTCCAACTTAACGTTTAGGTTCAGTGTGCCTCTAACCATTCGGTGATCGCTACCAGTTTTCACCCTCGCGATCACGGAGACATCACTGAACAGTTGTCGTCTGGTCGTCATAATGAAGTCAATCTCATTTTTTGTGGAACCGTCGGGGCTCGACCAGGTCCACTTCCTGTGGGGCCGCTTCTGGAAGAAAGAGTTCATCATAAAGAGTCCCTCTTTCTCCATGAAGTCGGCCAGCTGCTGGCCCCTTGGGTTCCGTTGCCCTATTCCAAATTTCCCTACTTTCAGCTCACCGTTCTCTCTTGTGCCTAGTTTTGCATTGAAGTCTCCCATTAACACCGTATATTGGGTTTTGGAGGAATGCATGGCTCTAGAAATATCCTCATACATTTCCTCCACCTCCCCATCGGGGTGTGCCGAGGTTGGTGCGTAAACCTGTATGACCTTCAGCGAATACCGTTTGGTGATTCTGAGTATAAGGTACGCAACCCTCGTCGACACACTCCCGATCTTTACAACGTTGTTAACGAGAGACTTGTGGACGATAAATCCGACACCTCCTTGGGACAGATGGTCGCCCTCCCGGTGATAGAGCAAGTTGCCGGATTCGAGGATTACCGTGTCCTCCCCCTCTCTTCGGACTTCGGATAATCCTATAATATGCCAGCGCAACTTGTCTATCTCTTCTTCCAGCTCCACGATCTTCTCGTCAGTCCTCAGGGTGCGTGCGTTGTACGTTGCCAGGTCGAGTCGTCTAAGGTGGCAACCGAACCTCCACCGGAGATTCTTAGCACCCCCTGCCCCGCCGTTACCATGGTCGCCACCGTAGCCAGGAATAGCGGGGCCGCCGGGGACTGGGGGCCGTCTCTTTGTTATATTCATAGGGGGGTATTTGCCATAGTTGCCACGCTTGGCGAGCGGGTTGGCAACCGCAGTTTTTTTATTATAATTTTGGCTATTATCAGGAAGATGCTGCTGCCCATCTCCTGCCTGTTTCCCTTTGTCGCCTTTTACGACACCCACGGGAGGATATGGGGTAGTGGTATTCTTGACCGCCACTACACGGCTTTGCAAGTATTCTTCCTTATATATTACTATACTCTTTGCAAGTATTTTCAAACTGACACCGCGGCTGGACACGTCGCGTAAGTACCTAGTAAGGAATAAGAATTATATTTATATTCGAGGAAGTAAAAGTTTTGTTTCGATTTCTTGTAAATTCAATTGTTATTGTGAACTGATTACGTAACCTACTGACCGTGACCTAATTTTTAAATAGTTATTTCGCGTGTATATTGAATTTAGAGACAGTTTTAAAAGTTTTATTTAATAAGAGTCCTAAGCCAAAAAGTAGGAAGGAAAGATTTCAATTCGTTTCCAAAAAAAATTTAAAAACGTTCAGTATAAATTTTTGCCCGAATAAAATTAGGCATTCATATATATATATTGACATTAACAAATACTTTCAAGTATTTTTAAAACCTGGTTTTCGACCCTGGTATTATTCCATACTCGTACTTAGAAGCCCTGGTATTAAATTTTGCAAGTATGTCTCATCTCTACCAAATGGATTTATTACTGTCAAAGTTATAAACCCCGCCAAAGAGTATATAATAAAGTAATTTAATTAATGGACCCCTTAGAACAATAGATAAAGAGTATTCAGAACTTAGAGTACAAATAAGCAAGGTATAGAGCGCGCGTATCGCTCAATGCCCATTATGCCAAGCGTAAAATTGACGCCTATGCGTTATTATACTTAAGTTATTAATTTGATTATGTAAGTATTTGTAAATATTAGGTAAGCGATAATTATAAGGTATGTTTTAGCTCAATAAAACATGGGTACGAATTTATGAAACGATGTTTATTAATCAAACACAAAAATCTAATTAATTTACTCTCCTGCTAAAAACCATATTATACAGGGTTAGTGAGAACTCGACAACTTCCTGGCATTGCATGATAAGGGAGTCAAAATGCTACAAATTAGGCTAGGTATGAGAACCGTCAATTCACTCTTAAATCTCTAGGTCAGAATTAACCCTCCGTGTACCAGGTGACTAAAAGTCTCGTCCCATACTAGGTGGGGTGTGACAAACCCCAAAATAAAAAGTGACAAAATTTACATATTTTTTGTTTTTTGGCGAAAGTAAGTATTAGGTATTTATAAATACATAATAATAATCAGGTTTAAATAAAACTCAGAGTATAAAATATATATTAAAATATTTATTATTATAAGAGAACAAAAAAACACAACTTCTGTAATTTATGCAACTTAACAGTAATTTTCTTATATACTTATTAAAAATGGCAATTTTAATCATCACAGTAATATTAATTTTATAAACTACAATATTTTTTCTAATAATTAAACATAAATTGAACACAGGAAAGATAAATTTTAATTGAGATCATCAGTGTTCAATTGACCACAGTTTTGACAAAAAAATCAATGTGCTCCATACCTACAGGCACGTAACATTTTTACGTGAGTATTTTGTTTTACAATCTTTCTTTCTAGGACAATTTAAGCATCATTTTTGAGCATTAGACCTTCTTGCTAGGCGTTCAGTTTAATTTTCAGGCGAATCATCAAAATATTTAGCAATTCTATTGCGTAGATCACTTGGAAGCTTTTGGTTCTGCCTTATGAAGTTTAAGTGGCCTGATATCAAAGCAACATCACCAAGCAAATGTTTATGCTTTCTGCTCTACAGCGAACATTGCTCCTGCGTGGTTCTTTTTGCCACTTCGCTCTCTTATCTTAGCCAATATAATACCTTTGTCTAGGCGGGCGAAGCTCTGAAAGTGGTACATCGTCGTCACTGTCAAAATCGCAAAAAAGTATTTCTGCATCAAATTCGCTGTTCGTGCCAGTCTAAATACACAAATTCAGATTCATCTACAGATCCTGGTTCTGATCCTCTAGATTCTAACTAAAAGTCGTCTCCTTCGTCTAAATATGCTTGTAATATATCAGCTTCCTTGATGTGCGACATTTTTCTTGTAAACTATTATCTGTAACAAATTAAAATCCATTGAAAATGCTAAATATACATAAACTAAACACACATAAATACAAAAATACATATATTACATCGAATAAAGATCTTACCTCTTTATCAACGTGCCGTACGAGGTGGGGTGTGTGATGCCCATACGTACTTTAAGGTCGTGTAGCTCGTTTGGAAGTTGCAGCTGGACTGACTTAGTGCCACTGATCAGAGCAGCAACGTTGCAATCCCAGCTACTGAGAATTCGAACATAGGTGCGTTCACAGTTTTTAAATTATTGCGAAATTTAAAGGACTGGGGTTTGTCAAACCCCACCTGGTGCACGGAGGGTTAAATAAAATACACACAATAATTTGTAGGAAAATATTCGATTAACAATTGCTGTATTTGTTTAATGGTAACTAAATTAGTCAGTACAAAGATAAATATTTTTATTTATGTTTATTTTTGTACTCGTATCGGTATTTTTGCATAATATGTCCCGTTCGTACCTACTATCATATTTCGCGAAAGAAAATGCAAAGAGATGCAACATCTCTTCGCAGTGCCAAAGAGTCGAGCCGATTGGAAAGAACTCGGTCGTCGACGATTCGAGCCGCTCTGCGCTGGATACGGTCAAGTGGAAGGAGCTGGTACTGGGGAGCCCCAGCCCAGAGATGGGAATTTATCCTCGTCTGCGATTCAAAATGCAGATGTGTTGTCACCCGTGAGGACTAAGATGGAATGCCTCTTTTCCAGAAAAAAACGGTGTCCGGTTCTCTACACTCACCATACGAAACAGCAGTGTATGCTGCTATTTTACGCTGTTATTCTATGAGAGCGTGGTCCTTCCCCGGTCGAGCCGATTCATTCGTGCTACAACTATACTAGTAATATAGCTGCAGCATGGCTCTACTACTATATAAAATTATATTAATTACATTATAACCTTTCACAAATGCTTACTACCAACAGGCAGCTCAGTACAGCGACGTATCATGGACAAGGCTCGCAACAGTGTGCGAGCGCGCGCTGCAGTTAGCCAGCTACAACGGTACCATCTACGGCAACACTGTCACTACCACCGCCAGCAACGCTATCACGAACAGTCCCAACACCAGCACTAGCAACAGTGACAACAGCGCGGTCAGCGTCAGCACGAGTCCCGTCACCACCAGTTGCAACGGCGGCAATGATCACCAGCGACTGCAGTTGCGGGCTCGGCTCTCTCTGCTCAGCGAGTCGCTGGTGCGGCCCAAGCCTCAGTCCTCAGTCTATAAGCAGGATAATACACTTGGTGAGTAAACCGTTACTTAATGATGATGATGATGATGATGATGATTAAATACCATATTATTTTAATTAAAATTGTATCCGTGGTTAAATTATTGTTAATTACTAATGTAATAAGGAATTTTGTTGCCATAAATATTAATGTTAAAAAAACTGCATGCTATATACAACTGTAGCAAAACATGATGATCTGTATCGTTCTGTAAAATCTTTTTATACACGTTGTTTTATGCAAATCAAATGTGTTCGCGACGGTTTAAAGACTTTAAGCAAAAAGTGATGAAAGAATATTAAATTAAAAGCTTTTACAACAATTTACTTCGCAAATATCCGCGTTATAAAATAAAATGATGTGTCTTACCTAGTATGAAGAAGCACCTCCCGCCCTCCCTCAATTGCGTGCACTATCCCCGTCACCACTAATCCCAGCACCGCTACTCCCAACACCACTACACTAGGCAAGACACACCACTGACGATAATACGACAGGTGTTTCGCCTCTACACGAGGCATCCTTAGGTGATATAGACTCTACGGTGGCTAACCGCTAATAATTAGCGGTTAGCCACCGCTAATATTTACCGCACCGCTAATAATTACGGGGCGGGCGGTGCTTCTTCATACTAGGTAAGACACATCATTTTATTTTATAACGCGGACATTTGCGAAGTAAATTGTTGTAAAAGCTTTTATATAATGGATTTCCGCAAAGTAACGCCTGATTCTATTAATTATATGAATATTAAATTGTTTAAAAAGTGAAATTAATAACAAAATCGAGCGAATTGTGTATTAATATGGGTTTACAATGTGTTTACAATTCTTAATATACTTGGATAGAATGTCGTTTTTAATAATAGTTGATATAAACAACTTTAATCATTTAATAAAATTTCGACCAATCACAGCGCAGCATATCGTGGAACTTTCTAGAAGTTAATTAACTGCGCAATAGTTTATATGAAAATAATAAGAATATTTTTGTGTTCTGAAAGAATTGTAAATATGATATTTAGTTAGCATATGGTGTATAGGTTGCAATAGTAAAGAGATAATTTGTGTAAATAAACGCATTTGATAAATATAGTAAAATTAAAGATTTAATGTGCACATTTGTTATGAAAATTTGGTATATTTTGATTAATAACTTTTTTTAAATGTAAATATATTAAGTAACCTTTATCACATACTGTTAAAGGACCAAAATGCCTATTTTATAGTGTATAGCGTGTTAGTGTAAAAATTAGCATTATATAGAAAAAGTTGCGATTTGTGCTAATTGATATTACCAATAGATATTTTGAAAATACGAATAGAAATTTTAAAACCAATAGAAATTTGAATATTACCGCGCATTTTAATTAAATCTGTTTTGAAATATATAGTGAACAACAAATAGTGAACAACCATAGTTGAACAACCGTGTTCAATAAATAAATAGTTATAAAATTTTGCGACTAATTAATCAGTCGAACCGCTGGCCACTCCCTTGCTATTTTAATTTATAAATCGTGCATTTTTAATTCTGAACCTCAGTCCACAGTTCTCCAACAGCATACACAAAGGCGGTAGTGAAAGTATCCTCCGGAACCTATAGGTGTAGGACGTGAGCGGCTCGCGGAGTATCTTCGACAACATTTACTCAGGAGAGTTACGCCCGTCCGGCACATTCGCTGGTCCTTCGAGCCGGATAACTTCCGTTTATACTCCGGGCCGAGTCCAGCATTCGCTGGTCCTTCGAGCCGGATAACTTCCGTTTATACTCCGGGCCGAGTCCAGCATTCGCTGGTCCTTCGAGCCGGATACTTCCGTTTTTACACTCCGGGCCGAGTCCAGCACATTCGCTGGTCCTTCGAGCCGGATCCTTCCGTTTATACTCCGAGCCGAGTCCAGCATTCGATGGTCCTTCGAGCCGGATCCTTCCGTTTATACTCCGAGCCGAGTCCAGCATTCGATGGTCCTTCGAGCCGGATCCTTCCGTTTATACTCCGAGCCGAGTCCAGCATTTGCTGGTCCTTCGAGCTGAATCCCTCATCCGTTTGTATTTCGGAACCGGATACATAGACACTACCGTATTAAAGTCAGCAGAATTTTCAGAATCAAGATGCCGATCACTCGTTCGCAAGGAAGGAGAGCCATGGCGTGGACCGTCGGTCTGGAAGGAGGCCCGTCGGACAATACCGACGCTGTCCGCCACCAGATGCCACCACGCTCACCATCGACAACAGAGGGCGTTGAGGCGCCATCTTGCCCCAGCTGGGGGGATACTCCTGCCCGTGCCGGCCACTACAACCGGTACACCGAAGCAGATGAAACAAATAGAGGGCAACGATGACATTCGATGTGCATCACCGCCAACAGTCCGGGAAGACTCCCGCACCGAAGAGCCACCAAGGGGCCACCGAAATAAAAGTACAAAGTCAAAGAGGACTATTCGGCCCAGTAAAAAAGTTTTGAAGGCTCGTGAAGAAGTGCTGAGAATTAAATTGGAACTCGCACAAATTTCCTTGCAAATGGCTGAGGAAGATGATTCGGACGACTATGATGAAGATGGTCACTCTAAAAGCGAGTACGTCCGATCTTGGCTCGAAAATTCCGTAGCCAAGCAAAAGCCAACTCAAGGCGTCGCCACCGGAGGGGAGGCCCCACTAAACAAAACCGTCACTAGGCCACCCCCGGAGGTTGTCGACCTCAGTGAGCCGCAAAAGAAGCTCACAAACAATGGTTCGAAGGTTGATGAAGACAGGGGGCTCCTACCAATCGTATCAGAGCCCACCTACCAGGATCACGATCCGGAAGAAGTACCCAAGAATTCTGTGCCACTAAAAATTAGCCAGGCCTCGAAGGTTGATGAAGACAGGGAGCTCCTACCAGTTGTATCAGAGCTCACCTACCAGGATCCCTATCCGGCAGATGTACCGAAGAATCCCTTGCCAACGAAGCCTAACCAGGCATCTGTCATTAATTAAGACAGAGGGCTCCGACCATTTATATCGGAGCTCACATCCGCTATAGCCGCACTCGCTGATAAACCAAAACCAGAGAGTGCATCGTCGCATACTTTCGCAGCGTCGAAAGCTATAATGACACTGCCGAGCTTTAGCGGAGCACATACCGAATGGCTATCGTTCCGTGCCATTTATGAAACAACCCGAGGCTACTTCAATGATATCGAAAATACTGCAAGACTACGAAGAAGTCTACAAGGAAGAGCCTTGGAGACAGTTAGTTCAGAACTCATCGGGCATGCTAAGCCGGATGAGATCATGCGAGAACTGGAGCTACAATTTGGGCGTCCAGACTCAATTGCACAAGCTGAAACCGAGAAGTTACGAGGATTGCCACGCTGTACAGAAGCGCCTAGAGATATCTGCACATTCGCAAGTAAAGTGAGGGGAAGCGTCGTCACTCTACGAGCACTCAAACGAGACCATTATTTCATCAACGCAGAGCTGCTACGACACCTCACAGACAAATTGCAAATTCTATACGGGCACAGTGGTATAAAGTTTACACCGAAAAATACGACTCTAGACCAGACCTCGGTTCCTTCAGCGAGTTTATCACCGAACAAGCTCGCTTCTGTAGTGCATTTGCGCCTCCCAAAATCATAAACGGGGCGCAGAACAATCGTTCAATACACAGAACGCACGCGGCAACAACTAAGCCGTCTCCGAAATGCAGTGTGTGCCAAAAAGAGGGTCATTATGGATCCGACTGCAAAAAATTTAAAGAAGCAGATGTCGATAAAAAATGGGAAATTGCAAAACAAAGCAATTTATGTTTCCGCTGCTTACGATACAGAAGTCAAACACACAAATGTAAAATCAATAAGTGTGGCATAAAAGGATGCACCGCGACACATAATAGACTTCTCCACCACAATAAAAAGGAGAAGACGGAGGTCACACAAAGAGAACCTCAGGAAACAGTAGCAAATTCATTCGCTGTGTCAAAGCATCACGCCTATCTAAAAATAATACCAGTCCGAGTAATTGGACCGGCGGGAGCTGTAAATACACACGCCCTGCTGGATGATGGGTCAACAGTCTCATTAATGGATGAGAAAATTGCCAAACAAATTGGAGCAACAGGGCGGTTGGACCCCTCTAAGATCACCGCCATCGGGAACAATATCCTCGATTCGCCGAACTCCCGAAGAGTCAAAGTTTCCCTCAAGAGTCTCCATAGGAAAAGGGTACAATTCAGAGCACGCACGGTCGCCAGCCTAAACTTGGGGCCACAGACTGTGTGTGCAGCAGATATAGAAAATTGTAGACATTTAAAAGACCTGAAGGAGCAATTAATATATGACTCTGGCAACCCAAAGATCTTAATAGGACAAGATAATTGGAGACTCCTGATAGCCACTCAAATTCGCAGAGGTCCGCCGCACCAACCAATCGCCTCGCTCACAGAATTAGGATGGGTGCTACACGGGGCACACACTAAAGCTCCGTATCAGCGCGTCCACGCGGCCAATGAGCTGCACACTAGCGAGGAAACCATAAAGGACCATACTAAAGTGGATGACTGGCGCTGGGTACCTACCAAATTAAACATAGCTGACACCGCTACGAGGGACGTACCACCGAACTTCGACTCAAATCATGAGTGGTACAACGGCCCATCGTTTCTTTACAAAGAACCGTCAGCATGGCCGACCGAAAGACCCACGTCATCCGAACCCACCGGTGAGGAAAAATGCCTCACCATTACAGAATCACATAGAGCGCCGGTAATAAGAGAAGCCATCCCAAATCCAGCAAAGTTTTCGAAATGGGAACGCTTATTGCGAGCGACGGCCAGAGTGCTTCAGTTTATTACACTGCCGTAAAACAACAGACAGGACCTTCTACAAAAGGACTAGAAGGAATGAAGAAAAAGATCCCGACTGGAGGAAATCGAAAAACAATCCGCAACACCGCACACAGTCCTCCAGTCTAAGAAAAACCGCAGATATCAAAAGACACATCACACTCGAGGCCGAATTCATCAGAGAAGCCGAAAGG